AATTGAATGGAATTCTTGAAAATTTTAAAAATAGAAAAAAATAAAAACACAAATAAAAAAATCATCACTGCAAACCAAATTACGTCAAATCTAAATTGAAATAAATCATGTCTTTAAATCTCTTTCTTGTATCATTAATGGGAGATGGATGTAAAGAAATAATGTCGTAAAAAGGAACCAAAGCTTAATCATCTTTAAGAACTGTGAATCTATTTGATGCAACGTGACGTTCTAAGAAGTTCACTTCATATCAAAATTAATTAACCTTCTGATAAATTATCTTTACATTCAATTCGATCCTCCTCCATATCCCTAATCGCTGTCTTCGGGAGTGTCAGTGGAATCATGCATCTACCATCTATGGCGCAGGATAGTTTTTTGATGTTGATGGTTGTGGCCCTAGGTTGCCTTTTTGATGTGGATAGTTAGTTGCGGCTCTGGATATGAATAATTATTAAAGATGGTGGGAGCCGGTTGATCCATTACGTGAGAGGAGGAAAAGTCTTCTTCTTTGAAGATGTTTCGATAAAATGGCATTATTTCAGTGCATCTGAAACCTGATTTTCATGGGATCAAGTCAGAACTCTCTGTCAGTCTTTTTCTATGTTCTTATTGTTATGTTTTTACTGAACTGAAATGGAATATAATAATATGTTTCAACCATCATGTTGCCACAAGTTTTTGTTGCAGTTTTTCTTTTTGAAGGGAAGCTATGGACAATAAGGGGAGATCCTGTGCAGCCTCTCCCCTTGTGCACTTTATCGGATTAGCCTAAAAATATCAAAATCTCCCATTGGTATTTTCGTTCTGTGAGAACATATTTTTATCGGTTAACCTTGCTTTCTACTCTGACACAAAAAGTTAAACGAATAACATTAAAATAAACAATAAAATACTTACTTCGCGTCTTTGAAATATTAGATCAACAATGCCAAAAATACAAAATTCCCATGAAAAGCTTTATCAAAAAAAAAAAATAAAATTCACAAAAACAATCTGATCTGCGCCGGTTGACCATTCTGGAGAAAGCCGCAAGAGGCGGGAAATATTAGCGTGTCCATTGTCTCCCGGTGTCCCGATCCTATCTACCCTCCCCTTATAGTTTTGTCAGAGTAATAGTTCAAATTCAGATCCGTTTTTAGTCCGTCTCATTCAGCTTCCACCATTTCACTTGAAGAATTAGATACCTCCTCAGAATCAGACAACATTTCTGAATCCGATTCAGACTCGGATTCTTCAAGAGAAATAATGAAAGGAGGAATATTTTTGAAAGGTAAGTCTCCCATGTATTTTGTCCAGTCTTCTGAAATAAGTCTGTCACAATGTCTACAAAAATTCGTCCACATGTCTGAGGTGTTTGCCCTCCCTTAAATTCCAAATTTTCTTTTGCGTATGTCAGTAATGTTTGTAATGTAAAATATTCATTTTTAGAATTGTATTTCCAAATTTGTCGTTGTAAATCTTCTTTAAACATTCGGTCTATAATAGTCTCTGTCTTTTTCGGTCGGCCTAAAGGTTTTTTGATTGTATATTGTCCAGTCAAAATTCTTTGAATAGTCCTGGTTCCCACCTAAAATTTAAGGAAAATGTTGGTTGGGTAAGAAATGGCTTCACATCTACATTTAAGTTATACCTTCCTCAAATAAATCTGCAAGTTGGGCTTCAATTGTTCCTTGGAGAGCCTCTGGTTTTTTTTTTTTTTTAAATAACCATGACATTTTAATATTTCCCTTTTTTCTTTCTTCTGAGATTATTTTTGGCATCTTCAATACGAAAGAAATTTGACAATGCCGAATTTTAAAAAATATCGTTAGATTTTGCAGGTACGCAAAATAGTTAGGTACCGTTTATAATATGGCATTATTGAAAAATGTGTCAAATTTGATTTGCCAGATAGGCCAGAAAATTTTAATACCGCGGCACTTACGGAATTATGTAAACCAAACTTAAAACTGTCTGGAATTTGACATATACTGTCATTATTATACGAGGGTCAACCTGCCAAATTTTCATGGATAATGCTACGCCAATAATAAGTGAAATGCATATGGATTGCTTTTTTTCAATAAAGACTTTGCCTTTAAGAACAACCAAAAATTTGAATTTGAATTGATTAAGACTGCGCGCTATTGCTCCGGGGTGAAGTTATTTCAATTTTTCCCTTAAACGAGTTGCGCCGGCTTCTGGTTGAGTGATTTCTCTTGTCCGTTGGGAGGAATCAATTGGACAGGCTGCTGCCTACCACCTTATTGATACAGGCTTGGTGGGAGGAGTTAGAGTCGGGCTGTTCTTTGGGGAATAAAGGTGATTTCAATAGAAAAAGCCATTCTTGAGATAATTGCATTCCTAGGTGTTCGTCCGCACACTAATTTCTTTTCTATTCCTTCTTGATTGAGCCTTTTTACGGATAACTTGTATATTAGCGGCTGATCCCCGTTGTATACAAGGGACGAAGGGTCTCTCTTACTTCCTCTCGGGAACTCCGCCCAGAACTATATCTAAATTAACGTTTTATTTTTTCACTACACAGTGTACCGTTTCTCTTCCTTCTAAATGTTATGAATATCAAAATAATGATAAAAATAACGTTGCAAGTTCAATCAAGTTTTCCAATGGGTATGTCTGTATATTTTTTCGAAAGTTAAGTTAATTTCCCTCTTTAGTTTTCGATGTGGACCTGAAGAAGGGTATTCACGAGTGTTCTTGGTTTCTATGGATCCTGTAGCATTTGAAATGCTACAGTTTGTATTGTATTTGTTCCTTTTTTTAGCTTGTCTTTTCTTCGTCCTTTTTCTGCCATCTTCCTAAGGGAAATATAATATCGAGTACTGTTCTGATGGAAAAAGTACCTTATCAGCAGTCAGGCATTATTTTGGCGAAATAAAGTTGCGTAAGACAATCCATTGATTACCGAAAAAATTTAAATAAAAACTCTCGTGATTACCGTTTTATTCAGTTCGAATTTCGAACCCCCTCGTGGAAAAAGGACTTACCTTTTTAATTTTACATTTAAAGTTATGGTTTTTCATAGAATGTCTCTATTACTTAGGGTTTTACCGGGAAGCTGTTTTTTTTTTTACCGGGGAGCTGTTTTTTTCCGGGGAGCCGTTTTTTCTGAGGAGCTGTTTTTCTCAAGAAATCTATTTTTAACAAGCCCTGAAGATCACCATTTTCGTGCAACGTAGGCATAGAGCTCTTGAAGTGATTTCCTGGAGGAATCGAGTCCCCTATGTGTCGATACCTGTACCTCCGCATTTGACGAAGAAAACTCTAGCCTCTATCCACCTCAATTCTAGTGTAGAACCTGCAACTTCCATTCGCAACTTCTGTCGTCAATTCAAATGGATGGCTACCGTACTCTAACGTTTTCGTTGGAATTGAGGCTTGTATAGAGTTTCAATTATAACTTTTATTACCTTTTTTTAATAAAATCTATTTTATCATCAATAACCATAATTGATTATTTTTACTAACATACACATTTAAAATCTCTCATTCTTGACACTGAGGTGATGGTGGAATAATTAACTTTTGATTTATCATATTTATTATAGGTTTATCTTTACTTCACTTTTGGTACCGCAAATTCAAAGAAAATTTATCTTTCAGTATTCATAATCATTAACCTGAACTGAGGTCAAGGTTGAACAATGTGTTCTAAATTTGAGATTATTGAGTAAGAACCTATGACGCCAAAAATTGATCAATTTTGCATCTGGGTTATATTACTTATAAACTTGAGGATTTCGGTTATATCTTCTTTATACCTTCAACGTTTAACCTTTGATTTCATACAGTTTCGATTTGATTTTGGTGATTTTATTTTTCTAGCAGCAGCTGACCATATTCATCCATATAATAAATATTATAATTTTCAATCATTCAATTTTCTGGAAACTTAAATCCATATTTTCATTTCAAATTAATGATATGGGCAGCAACTGTTAATGAATTTATATGGCAACTATATTGAGGTACAGTGTATTATTTTTTTTGAGCTTGATGGATCTGATTGAAAGGTAACCTATTTTCATTGATTTCATTTAAAGTATTTTACCAACAATAATTGAGTTTATACTTTGAAATTATTCAATACTTGATTTTTGACCTCACTGTGAAATATACGTTAATTTAATTTGAAACTTACTTAATTGTTTTATTGGTTTACTTATGTCAGGATTTGGTTGAGTTATGTGCCTTATTTATTTCCTTTTCAAAGCTATCAATTACCGCCTGCAGATAATTTTTTTAAAGTGTGCATCTGAATTTTTTATTATTTTTTTTTGTTTGAATTATTTATAAATTTGATCACCTTCATGACATCCAAAAGAAAGTCTAGGGAAGTTTGGTGAAATTCGAGAGAATAAGAAATGAATAAGGAAATTCAAAAATGTGGAAAATATTTATCAAATAGTACAGTAGGTACATGTAAAATTTAGGAAGAGGTTTGTCCCTCGTTATTTATTATATGGCCTTTTGTAAGGCTCGACGAGCTCTTTTGCCTCAGGGCATCAAAGGATGTTAAAATTATGAGGAACTTTGACAAACATCTAAAATGCTCCATATCTGAAAACTTTTTGGGTCTACAAAGGAACATATCCGAGAAACTGAAATCAATAACAAAAAGATATGAAATTATCTTGTTGGAGCCTGGGTTTCTTCACCAACTAAATACATTTTAATGAAATATTTGAAAAATAACTCTAGAAAAATATATAAAGAATGCCCCAATTATCAAATAATCTAGTCGTATTTTTACCTTGCCCTTTGTTGGTGGCCCATCGAACTCCTAAACTGATCCAGGTTAACGATATAAAGGCCATTTTGGCAAAGGTCGGAAAAAGTTTTTCCCAGTCACGTACCTTAAATTTTCACTTCGGTGTAATATCAGCCTTGAATATTTAATATCCGCGTCTGGGAAAAATCTATAAAATGTCGATTGACATTGAAAAGTGTTTTGTACTTTTAACCTTTTAAGTTTTTCTTGTTTTCTTTTCCAGTTATGTCGTCGACCAATAGCTACTTGTCAATCGGCAATTTTCCAATATAGCGACAATCTGTATCGTTTCAAAAACGAGAATTATTTCAAGTCGTAAAGGATAAAGGATCACCATAAAGAAAATGGGAGATCCTCGTAAAAGACGTATTTACTTTGCCCAGCTCGGGGCCATGCTAAAAAGGAACCTTTTGTTGAAGAAAAGGGACAAAAGAAGAACGATGGCGGTAAGTGAATCATTGTTATCAATGTCATATTATTTATTATTTTTTGTATTGGGGAGCATATATACAAACGAAAGACAAACCAGCTGTTAAATATAACATTTTACTCACCGATCTATGAGACTATTTCACTAGAGTGTATTACACCGGCAATAAATTCTGGAGTGTGTTTAGAAATGGAGTGTGAAGGTAGAGTAGTTGTTTGTCAGAGTCTTCTGACGTCATCACTTGGAGTGCACTCTGGGTGCGCCTTTTCTGAACGTAATTGGGGTGTTGCTCTAAATGTCAACGTCAAACCCGGTAAAAACCTCGGGGCGTTTTTTAACCTAGTAGTACGGGATACCAGGGGTGCGTTCAAGGACAGCAATGCTAATGCCAAAACCTACTTTTCCCCCTCCACCGGTAATGCCGAAACAAGTAGGTTGGAGCCGAGCTCGAACGCAAAATGCCAATTTTAGCTTGGCTGTAGCCATTCCTGAACGCAGCCCAGGCCTATTTCATCAAATCATTTTACACCGTCTTGCATTGTTATCTTCAGTTAGATAACATGGTACTGAAACGCACTTGTGCAGGGAAATAAATGGGAGTGGGGGATTTCGCTGAAAAAAATGTTTCAGAAGATGTAGTCATAAACGAGGAAAATATATAATTATACACCGTCTTGCATTTATTTATTGAGTTAATTTGTACACAAACAAAATTGGATTAACACATGCAAGACGTTTTCATGGGAGTTTTGGGGTTGCAATAGAAGATTGAAATTGTCAATTTGTGAGAGGGGGAAAAATCATTTTACACTACTCCATTGTTGATTGAGATTAAAGCTTGAATGTAGAATAGCTATTGGATACTGATACAAGACGTCCTGTGGAAGGATAATGGGCTACAAGACGGATGTTAATGCGTTGTCTCATGAGGGAGTGAAAAATAATTTTACACCACTTCATGCTTATGTCCGCCGGAAGAATATATGTTAAGAAATGGTAATACATCAGTCCAAGATGTTTTTCCAGGGAAAAAAGTTCATAAATCCGTTTTCTTTTTCAACTGAACTGTTGAGTTATTCACTGAACCGTTCACTGTTCATTCTTTTCTAAATCATACAGATGGAAAAGGACAGTTGACATAGCAGCTCAACAGGGGAGTCTGCTGAATACAGGATTTTTAATTTTTGTTTACATTTCCAGACAGATCATTTGTTGTGTCATTTTTTCTATGGTATCATTTTTTTGCTGCTTTAAAATCAAATTTCTCAAATTTACCTAATACTTAGAATCCGTTGTGTGGCATATCTACCTCAAAAAAAAACTAAATGATTATAAGCCGTCAGAAAAAGAAAAATTTTCAACCTTTTTTTATTTGATGTCCGTAGAGACACTCAAATATACATATTATTAAGAGAATTTTGCAAAATAGAATTATTAATTATTCTACATGGTAAAGAGCAAAAATATTTAAAATTAATATGCGTAATTTTGTGATTTGGAGTAGTATTCATAGTGTTTCACAAGATTCTTGCAAATTTCTTGTTCTTGTCTTGTTCTTGCTGCAAGAACAAGACAAGACTCTCTTAAATTTCTTGTCTTGCAAAGCAAGACAAGACAAGAAGTTTCCAAGCAAGACAAGAAATTATTCTGCAAGACTCTTGCAATCTTGCAAGAAATCTTGCAAAAACATGAAGTCTCCTTCTCTGCATTTTTTTGAATTAATTTTGGCAACGTTGCGGCAGTTAACAATAACGAGATGAAAATGTCAGCATGTCAGTTTGTAAAGTTTAAGGCATTTTTTTTGCGACAAAACGTTTTGAAATTGTAGTTACAAAACACTCAAACAGATGTCAGTTTCTAACAGTTCTTGCAGCAAGTATGGCTAGGAAAATTTTTGCCCATGATGGACAACGACACTGCACGCACACAATATTGAATTTTAAGCCCAATGTTAAGGCCTTTTCGTTTTCAACCATCAAAGAATCAAGTCGATTTTTTTTTAAGGTCTGATAGCATTGTAGTGCGATTATTTTCGTTCATTAATAGTTGTCTACCTTCATTTTACCTTCGCAGGTTTACCTTTGACATTTGTCAAATCACCAAAAATATATAGTTGTGTTATAGACTCATAACCTCGTCCATAACACCACTAGTTGTGTTATAAATTCATAACCTAGTCTATAACACCACTAGTTGTGTTATAAGTCTCATGACGTAACTCAAATACTAGACAAATGGTTATGTAAAAACGTCGTAACCAAACGCTTGTAGATAAAAGCCTTTAAACCAGGAAAGATGACAACCACGTTATCAATGAGAATGACACCAATGATAATCTTAAGGGCCCCATACACTACGATGAAACACGACGGTTTTCGTCGCCACGATGAAACACGTCGTTCCATAACCGAAGTGTGTGGTAGAAAACCGTCGTGTTTTTCTACCACACACGTCCCCGACACGCTTTTGAACGTAATGAATGATGCAAGAGTCTTGCAGCAAGAATCTTGCAACAAGACTCTTGCAAGCAAGACTCTTGCTATGACGTCACAAAATAAATAATGCAAGAACAAGAAATTGCAAGAAATCTTGTTTGCAAGACAAGATTTTTTTCTGCAAGAGTCGGGCAAGACAAGAATAAATTCCATTTCTTGTCTTGCTTTGCAAGACAAGACAAGAATAGGCCCAGCAAGACAAGAAATCTTGTCTTGTGAAACACTAAGTATTCACCCTTGTACCTGATGGATTGACCCCTGTCAAAATTAGTCAACTTCATCACCGTCTTGCAGTCCTTTCTTTCCAGTTAGAACGTCTTGTATTTTTAAAAATGTTATTAATATGTTCTGTTTTTCCCATTAGTACCAGTGCAAGACGGTGTAAAATGATTTCTCACTCCTTCTTAAAGGGGGTGTGACCCTAAAAAACGACTAAAGCTACTTAAATTAAGAAAAAAATTCTAACATCTCTCGTGAAAACCGCAGTCCTATATTCAAAATAGTTTCCGAGAAAATCCCTTATGAAGATAAATTATGCAGGAGCTTGTGATGTCACAACCGCCGAAATCGTTCGTTTAATCGTCATTGAGCCGTACCCTATACTTTGAGTGGTTGCAATTCGCTCTAGGAGATAATTGTCTTTTGTTATGGAAAATTTTTACAAGTGTTAATACTGTCCCTGATAATCCAGTGTGACGTCACAAACTCCTAGCTGTAACTTTAAACCGCCCTAACTTGAAAACGGACCATCGTAGCAAGATGCGGTTTAAATATTTATTCTTAGATTTTTTTTCACTAAAACTTTCATTTTCGGGTCACACCCCCTTTAAGGCAACACATTGGCCTCCGTCTTGCAGCCCGTTATCCCTCCACAGGACGTCTTGCATCAGTATCCAGTGGCTATTCTACATTCAAAGCTTTAATCTAAATCAACAATGAAGTGGTGTGAAATGATATTTCACTCATCTGAAAAATTAACAATTTCTATCTAATATTACAACCCCAAAACCTCCATCTAAACGTCTTGCATGTGTTAATCCAATTTTGTTCTTGTACAAATTAACTCAATAAATAAATGCAAGACGGTGTATAATTATATATTTTCCTTGTTTATGACGACATTTTCTGAAATATTTTTCTCAGCGAAATCCCCCACTCCCATTTATTTCCCTGCACAAGTGCGTTTCAGTACCATGTTATCTAACTGATGATAACAATGCAAGACGGTGTTAAATGATTTGATGAAATAGGCCTCGTATCCCATACTATAGTCCCTGAGTAGGGTAATTCAGGCACACTCTGGGCACGTCAATTCTCGATTTCTGAACGATTCCAGCGTAACGCTCCGAGTAAGCACCTCTTAATTTATGAACGGTTTAGAGTTACTCTAGGCTCACTCTCACACCCAGAGTGCTATTTCTAAACGCAACCCTGTATTCAGCTGACAATATTGCTACCTGGACAGGACAATACCAACAACATGGTATTTCAGCGACCATTTTTTGACATTGTCAAACTGATATTTTTAATTTGAAGTTTTTATTCATATTTTTGCATTCTATTTATTTTCAAAATCTTACGTGAAATAGTCATGATGAATACCACTTGAGCAAAAATTGTGTAGCTAAAATCGTTCTCAAGGTTTTATTCAAGTTTGTTGCTTTTCGGCAATTTCGCTCATGACATTTTTGTCAAAAATGTCATTCGCGAAATTGCCAAGCAACAAACTTTCATACTTTTGCCGACAATTTTTTTTCTATTGTGATATTATAATATATGTAAATTCATTCCTGTCGTTTGGAAATTTGCTAGTTTCTACCGAGTTTCGTATGCCTAATATTCTTATTACAGCAGGACATACATCAATAAAGTGAACAGAATACCTAGTTGTTTATTTTCCAAAATTCAGTGGTTTCCACAGCTTTCCAATCATTTTTGGTGAAGTTGTTACACAAACTTTACAAAGTCTTCAGTAACTCAGATATTCAACATTAATGGACTGACTTCGCACTAAGTGCCCTCGCATCAGCAATAAATCTATTTTCTCGGGTTGTGTTTTTCAACTGTACAAAGATTGTGATTTGGGTGATCCATCGTACTTTGGCTCAATATCTATATTGCCCGGAATTTTGGAGGTTATTGAGACGCTTGTCCAATTGAGGATTTCGGCATTTCTTGTGGCTTTTTTTTGGTATAGATAGATACTTTTAAAGATAGGTACCTTGAATTATTCAAATTAATTTATATTTCTCAGATAGGCGATTGAATCATGCAGGCTACAATGGGCCATAAGCGATAGAAGATATTTCGATAGAGGATTCTACTACTATTATAATAGTTCAATTACTTATCGAAACGTGTTTCTGCTCGTATTCCGTTGCTGATAGCTGTACTGCATCCCATTTAATAATGATAATGGTATATTTACGTATATTTATTTTAAAATCCATTACAGTAATAATAGGTATATAAAACATTTTTAAAATAATGTGACAATACTTATCAAAACAAAATAAAATAA